TTATGGTCCGCTTAAGAAAGCAATAAACCATATATTTTTCCATATCCTATTTCTATGAAGCGTGATTTGTGTTACTTCAACATCCCCATAAACTTTCTCCTTCCGATACATTTTTCGCGATACGTTTTCGCTTATAAAATATTTATTAATTCTATTTTCTTACTCTCCTTTTCCATTCCTCTTTTACGAAAAACTACCATCACTGTAGAAGTAGAATAGATCTTCATCGAACGAGTGAAAACATATTTCTCTCAATAGACTTTTTTCTTTTCTTAATAGATTTGTTTTTTTCACTCTTTCGAGAAAAAAATCACACATTCGGACGGGGAGAAATGTCCAAGCAACCGGTTTAGATATATCCATTGTCTGGCACAGACAAATCACCCAGCGAGAGGATCGCATACGTAAATACTCACGATTGATCTGTTTGTCAATCGGTGGACGGTTCGTTTTTTTCTTCCGATTACTTTACACGTTTCTCACGTTTCTCGATACCTCAGAGTATCAGAATCGAAATATCACTTTCCCCCCGATCTTCCTCCTCTTGGATGATTTCTTCCTTCTTCTCGAGGATTAAATCGAAAGAAGCGAGTTGAAGACAAGAGGAAGGCAAAAAAAAACTGGAGAAGTGGCGAAATCGAATCGATTGATCGGTCAAGCGACATTTCCCTTCATTCTTCCTTTCCCTCTTACCCCCTTAGTTCTCGCCTGGACAGTCTCTTTTTTCCCTCCTCCACCCTCCACCCACATCCAAACCTCAATAAAGCCATCCACCGCGCGACGGTTGCCGAAAAAAAAAAAAAGAAAGAAAGAAAGAGAAGGAAGGAAGAAAAAAGGAAGAAGGGGTGAATTCATCCGATGGGCGGAGTCACGTCGACGTCCGGAATCGTACGTCTCGCGCATATGGAAGGGACCAAGCTTTCTCCCAGGGATAATCGAGAATCGTTGTCGTCTCTCGTTATATACGTGGACCAACATTCCCTTACTACGCGAGGGTAGAAAGGAGGAAAGAGAGGGAGGAAAGAGCTTTCTTCCCTCTCCCCCTCTTAGACCATCGTTGCTTTTACCACCGCGAAACGGATTCATCCAGGTCTCTCCATCCCTCTTATTGCTACTCTGTCACCGCTAAAACGACCGGGTCTACTTTTCACGTTCCCGTTCATTCCACGGACGACGGCCGACGGTTCTCCCATCGATACAAACCCGAGAGAGGCATGCCGGGTTGTAAAGGAAACCTTAAATCCACTCCTTGGAAACGTATGACGGGAAATAGCTCGATGCACACGTGCATCGTCCGCGCGAATAATACACGCCGGTTCAGCCTCCATTTTATCGGTACTTCTTCTTCTTCTTCTTCTTCTTCTTCCACTTCGTCTTTTTCTTTTTCTTGCCTGCGCTTCGAGAGATATCCATTGGTGGGGCAGCTTCTTTATTCCTCGAGAGGAGAAATTATCGTTGATATTTCTCGTTTTTTTCTCTTTCTTTTGTTGTGTGTCGAGCAATGTACAACGGGAGGGAGAATGGATAGAAGATTTTCAGGATAGGGAACGAGAAGGGAAGGAATTTTTCGTTTCGAGAAAAACTGAAATTAATTTTTTTTTTTCTTGAAAACGAATTATTCTTATAATAGTAACTCGTAATCTGCAACTAATCGTCGCGGAATTACTTTTTAACTTTGAACTCGTATAATTTACAATTTGTAATTTACGAGTAATAGAGATTTAACGATCGAGCGATTGGAAATTCGTATGAATTTTACTCCAATTACCACTATATCGCGTTTTTCAACCCTTTTCTCTTAAATGAACTCGATGCTCTTTTCTTTTCTTTTTTTTTTTACGTTCAATACGACCAACATCGAATTAAGCTTCTTCCACCGAGGATCGACCCCGCACCCCTTCGTCGAAGGCTATTTCGTCGCGGAATGGACGCACATTCGTCACGCTGTTCCCGGGAAATAGGGTGTCGTATAAAAAAGAAAAAAAAAAGGTGAACGAGGACGTCGTAAAAATGTGACATCGATGTAACCAGGAAGTCGCAATATATACATATATATATATATATATACTCCCTTCTCCTCCTCTTCCTTTTTCTCCCATCCTTTTCTTTTTTTCATCATTTTTTAACCACGTCAAACGATTCTTTTTTTTTTTCTCCTCCCACTCACGTCATTTTTTAATCGCGTCAAACGAGATCCCCTCCCCGCTTTCATCACTTTGATTTCGCGGAGGGAAGGAGGGGAAAGTTCAATCGAACGCGGTGTTAATAATCTGTCCTGTATCGATCGAACGATGCCGGGTGGCGTAAGGCTCAATTTCGGTCTCCATAAATTATTCATTGTTCCCGTAGCCGTGGCGCGATGCTCCATGCAAGTAATACGTACACAACACGCGCCCTGCACAGAAGATTAATTGGCTGTCGGGAATCCTTCGATTAAAATCACGTATCGTAACTTCTAAGACTACTTTGTCGTTGAATCCGTCGTTTACCCAGATATTTATTCAACCACTTATGCGGGGGATGATCGAATTTATATTTCTAACTAAATTCGTTGGAAATTTTCACTTCGACCACGATGATATATTTATATCGAATATACGTAATCGAGGCTTCTTACATTTTTGTTTATTATCATTGCGGGAAGATTAAGCGATACGTTGAACACCTGGTGTCCGGAGATAAGGTCTCTCGACAAAATTCGTCGTAACGAGCAATTCCAGTTATTATTATTATACAGACTCCGCGAATGCGAAACGCCGCGGTTGCGGAATTTACGTTAATGCGTTTGGTGAGTGTTGCACACGGGGAAGCATTATCTAATTAGAGTCATTCGCGCGGCAGTTTCCAAAATATTCCTGTCAATTTAGGAACGCGCAATTTCGCATCGATATTCAAACAATCAGCCAAGTATTAATAAAAAGGTCGCTTAATATATGTATCTTCCTCTCCCCCAATTTTTTTCGATGATATAAAAACACGGTTGTTTAAAAGATTCATTTCAATGGTCTCGATGGATCAATTTTACCCATTCAACACGCTCGTTCAACGTTTGATCGTATATTGCTTTTTTTTCTTCCTTTCCATATTATTTACACATCTATAGTTGAAAAATTCGAAATTCCATTACTGTTCCAAAAAAAAAAAAGGGAAAAAAGGAAACAAAAAAGAATTCTAATTTTCTCATAAAATTACAACACCGAAACGTTAAAATTTTATGCAAATCAACCGATTAGAATTGCAAACGAAATGTTACGTTATTTCAATTTAATGGGTAAAACACCCTTTCGCTTCACACCTATGTAAATTTTCCGTTCCGTAAATGACGAATACAAACGATAATGTTTTTCACCGGCCCGATAACCCATTAAAACGTCGTATTAAGAAAGTTGGCGCAACGAATGGTGGTATCCGACGAGGGGGTAGGGTGCAGTCGTTAACGCTTCCGGCCTCGATCAGTCTAAATTCTCCACGGATCCTAAACTGTCTTTATTCGGTTAAGCCCGGACGGTGGCGCACTTAAGCTCGCATAATTTTCGTTCTAACTAGGCAGAAATTACGCCTCTTCTCTGTTTGCGCAAGGAAATTCGTGCATCCCCTCCAACCACCCCCTATCGCCCCCTATCCTCGAACCCTTCCCCCCCTTGCCGAGTAGTATCTACGACCTCGTTCCTTTCCTCGACCGTTTCGGAATTAACGTCGAGTGCAAAGGTTCCACGGACACCGAGGGCACTCGAGAGAGAGCCTTCCTCGCATTTTCTCCCCGGATTTCAACGGTGGAAAAAGAATACCCTTGCCGAGAGACGCCTCTGTCAAGGAAACCTTCCTCCTCGCTCGCTGTGAATCTTGGATCTCTGCAGGGCAAGATGGAAGATAGTGGTACGTACAATTTTACGATTCGCGATAAGCGAATGGTCCGCGTTCGAATTCTAAAATTGGACCCTTTCTTTCTTTCTTTCTTTCCTTTCTTCTTTCTTTCTTTAATTCTTCGCTCGAGTCGAACGGGCAAAGATGGAACTCGACGAGATACTTCCATAGTACAGACGATCTGCATTTCCTAGAATTGGATTCTTTTTCTTTCCCTCCCCCTTTCTCTTTCACCTCTTCGAATTCCTTCTTCGAGATACGAGTCTCTCCCTTCTTCGACGAGTTTTCCCCAGTTTGATTTCCGGCCCCGCCGTTTAATTTCCACCAGGCCGTAGGATTGGTTTTGCGCGAAAGTTCGGTCGGGACAGGGTTGAAAATCGATGAGTTGAGCGCGTTTGAACCGCAGCTTTCTACCTATTACCGGCGAAAATGAACTCGCTAATGATACAATCGCATAATATCCTGCAGCTAGATAAAGTTATCGGTATAACGAACCCACTGTGCGCCACTCCCTCCCTCCTGCTGGATCAATGTTTGATCCAACCAGCCAGGACAGTTTGGCGTTACTTCGTTCGATCAACCCTCGTTTCCTCGATATCGCTTCCGACGAGACGAATTTACCTATCGCCGTAATTCCGACGTGTTGCTCTCCTCGATCGCTCCCCTCCTCTCCTGATCGACTTATGATTTCGCGGCCCGAGTTTGCGTTGATCATTAGAGACGTGTGGAGTACGGGGAGAGGATGGTCCAATTGGATAGATGGAAAGTTTCTCGAAATTTTCTCCAAATTCTCCCATATCGAGTTGAAATTTAATCGTGTTTAATTTTGTGTTTAAAATTATTTCAGTATTTTTAGTGATATATTTATTATTTAATTTTGCTATGAAGTAATTAGTCAAGATTGATTAGTTATTTCCAAATATTATATATATTGAATTGAAACGTGGACGAACTATTCTAACGATATCTTTTATATAACAATATCACAAGGTACCTATTAATCCAAATTTACTTTGTACATTAACAATCAAGAAAAATTACGCAACAATGGAAGAGCAGATTGTTCAATATATCGTATAAATAGAATGGAAGAAGATAGAGAAGGAAAGAAAAGAGAGAGAGGAGTATTCACTTACCGGTGTTGTTCTTCGATTCTCCGCCTCTTACCGGCCAACCAACGGACACGCTCGCCTTCGACGAGAAACTGAAGTACGCGAGGAATTGGGACCTCGTCGTGCTCTCGTTTATCCTGTAGCAAAACATAAATACTTACTCACCTCGGTTCACGGAATTCTGCGCGTCGAAGCAATAAGAGGAAACCGTGATAAATATTATGAGCCGAGTTATTCCTCTGTATTTACGCTTGATACTCACGGCATACGCTGGGGAAATTTACGAATTCTTCGTGAATGATGCAGAAGGAGGCGGCGGCCGGCCGTGGAACAATGGCCGTGAAACAATTTTTTACCGATTCGCGTGCACTCGTTCCTTTTCAAACGCGTGGAATTTTCACGAGGGTAAAAAATAAATTAGAAAAATATATATATATATATGTAAAACGTAGATTTTGTTGAAAAATATTTAAAATAAAAATAAGAATTTTTGAACAGTCGAGTTACAACTCGGTTCATCGTCAAATTTCAAATACTACTTGTTCGACCACACTCGAGTGGTGGGCTGCTATCCACGGTCGGCTCGAGCCTACGAATTTGCAATTTGTACTGAGGAGGGGAGGGGAGGAAATGTGCTTAACCTTATTACGGTTAATACACTTGCGCTTTTGAAATGGTACTCCGTTTGTAACCGGTTGCACGAGAGAATAATTCTACGAAATGAAAAAGTAAGTTGAAAAAAAAAAAAAAAAAAAA